TCTAATCTCTGGACATAGTTTGCTAATTCTTGCGCCTGATAACTGTTGCTGGATATTTCGCATGAGGCATCCGGTCCACCGACCGATTTTGGATCCAAGAAAGGTTCGATGAAAATGAACACTAATACATTTACCGTCAATTTCACCGGATGAAGAAAGTCTCAGCAACACTGTGAATCTTTCTGTGTTGCTTGTCTAGATCAGACCAGCGCGATTCAAGAGCAATGGCACAGAAATTACGCAGAAAGCGGTCAGCGCGGTGAGCTTGAAATGGAGGTTTGCAGCACGGAGCTTTTCCTGGACCTCGGTATCACAGATGAGATATGGAACCCAGGTTTCCAAAAAGTATCCCAGATGAAGCCAAGGGAAAGTTGTACAAAGATTGCGGAAAGCTTTTTCGGTGAGAATTTGTAAATTTTTAACTGAAAAAGAGCTAGTTATGGTCCTTCGTATCGGCCCCCATACTTTATTCAGTCACATACTTCATTCGATGACGAGATTTCGAGAACGCTTAAACCGGCTAGCCGAAAGTAGTGAAGAAAGCAAAGGACACCCTCCCCTCGGCATGCGCTTTGCTGAAGGCACAGTCATACAATTTTATGCCTGTCGATGGGGAATATTCTGTAGGTCGCTAAACGTGGGGATAAATTAAGGACAGAGGGCATGCCGTTTAGGCACAAACAGGGCACACTAAGGCATGTAAATCTGTGGCAGTTCGCTCGTGGTCACGAGCCTGCTCGTTTACCAACATCGTCTGTGGTCTGCCCAGCACAACTTGTCATCTGAGTTTCTGCACCGCGTGTGACCCTGCCCCTTGGCGTGGCGACGGTTCGGTTCCGACCAACACCTTGGCCTTTGCCGATCGGCTGCGAATGGACATGACTCAGGTGAAGGTACGCACGCCTCTTTCTCTAAGCAATAGGAATTTTGACTGATTTGTAGCGTGGTGGGCTAACTGCTACTGCTGACCTCGGAGCTTATTTTTCACTGCATACCACGCTAAAGACTGATTTGGGAAAATTCTTGTTGTCGAAAACTGGACTTAGGCAAGTGCACAAGCATTTCAAATAAGATTTCCGGAAGTTCCCACATCATAGGATTCTTAGAAACATTATATTATTTGATCAGAAACAGGTATTTCCGGAACGACAGGACTTTTGATAGCCAACTAGGTCCCATGGCAGACATGAGGAAATTACGGCTCCTTACATCCAGCCAGATGCATTGGCGCTTCCCGTAGCTGCAACCAAAGACGCATGTCATAGTATGAGGTCGAGTCATGAGTCATTCTTAACTCGTTTCCACTTAAACCGATTCTAATGACTTTGAACCACATTTTTGCGTGATTCATCCAACATGATCGACTCCCTAACAGCCCTGGCGCTGGGTCAACAGCTCTCTGACCACTAAAAGGGCCGCAGTCTACCCTCATTTACTACTTACAATCAGTTTTCGGTAGTAGCGGCTGCATATCGGTACAGGAGCCGACCCTTACAACGTGCTACGCGGGCGTAGAGTTGGACCGACACGGGAACCAGATTAGGGTCCGGCATGCGCTACTGGGCTGTGCACTCATACAGTAGATGTGCTAACTCATTAAATGTCAACCAAAATTTCGAAATGCGTTCTCGTTTCGAAAAGATAAATTAAGTAGTGTTGTAAAACTAATCATGATGCAGCATAAATCTATAATGATCCAGTTACCTCAGGGTGTCGGCTTTCGAAAGAACTTATTTTCGGCTGCATGCAAGATCTATACTCTGCAAAAAATGACTACTTATGTAGTATGCAATTTTCTCATGGATTTTCGATGCCCTTGAAAATTCAATTATATTTCATAGAAAACATGCATAAAAATATTCATTCTTTACTTATTCGGTAGAAAATCACGTCTTCATCCCATTTCATACTCAAAAGAAGACTATAATCCGGTTTTAAAAAAGTTTATAATTGTGAGATTTTTAATACCGTAAAATGGCCGTTCATGAAACGTCATATATCTGCATTTACGAATGTGGCTTGTAAAGTTAACAGTAATGCTCAAATCCACTGCCTAATTTTATGAAGCTCATATGGTCTCCTCTTAACACCGTAGAGAAATGCATGGTTTTCCGTACACGGAAAACATACAGCTTGTAGTTTTGAAACCCTGAATGCAAGCGTAACAGCAGGTCAGGTTAAAAATTATTCGGGAATTAGAAAAGTTTTGTAAAACCGGATTATACTCTTCTTTTGAGTATGAAATTGGATGAAGACGTGATTTTCTACCGAATAAGTAAAGAATGAATATTTTTTGCATGTTTTCTATGAAATATAATTGAATTTTCAAGGGCATCGAAAATCAATAAGAAAATTGCATGCTAATTAAGTAGTCATTTTTTGCAGAGTATAGATCTTGCATGCAGCCGAAAATTAGTTTTTTCGAAAGCCGACACCCTGAGATAACTGGATCATTATAGATTTATGCTGCATCATGATTAGTTTTACAACACTACTTAATGCATCTTTTCGAAACGAGAACGCATTTCGAAATTTTGGTTGACATTTCATGAGTTAGCACATCTACTGTAGCAAATGCAATAATATGGAGTGGGTGTGGTGGCACGCCCAGGCGCAGGCTCACGCCAGGCACCTGCGTCTGGTCCCGCCACTGGTCTTCTTGGCTACGCCTTGACACCGGGTTCATGTGGGCGAGGGAGGTGAGAGTGCGGCAGATGCAGCGCAAGTCCATTATCACTATAAACTCAACCGCATGCAATTCACTGCCCCTGCGCCCACCCTGCTATGGGGCACATGGTGAACAACCGCGGTAACAACGGCCGAACTGTCACCGGAACTGGAAGAAAATAAAATCGCCAAATGCGCGGGTAATAGCAGATTGCAACGCGGTAGAATTTCCTCTACAAATGCATTCCGTAGACTCACATGTATGAGTCAATTGCGTACCCTCGTTCATACTTTTTCCTTTTTATGGTTTTTGGCGACTCTTCAAACAACGTCCTCTCGTAGAAACAAGTCCATCAGAACCTGCAGTAGGTCTGCCAACTTGGCCTTCGGAATGTCAGGACTTGTAAGACTTTGTGGTGTCTCATACTCTGAAATTCTAAAACCTTAGCACTACTCGTTTAACAAACAGGCTTTTCAGTTAATCTAATTCACTTGTGCTTCTGATAGAAGTCCAGTTGGTAATGTACACTTAATGTACAGCCGTGCATCCCCAATAGCTTAATCTCTTGCATACAATTACTTGACCTCGTCGCCTGTGCGTTCCCCCCCACCCACCTGTAAAAGCCCTATTACCACCAGTCCCGTATTACAGGACCTAATTCACCTGTGGTGTTGCTATAAGTCCAGTTGGTAAGATGTGGTTATGGTACCGCACCCGATGCACACAATACTCTCGACCTACTTAACTATTTTGAGGTGGTGTGATTACGTTGGCATGGTGTTGCTGTGCGTTGCGGCCTCGTTCCTTTGTTGTCGTGTCTACCTGTTTTGGCCCGACGCCGGTGGTCCTTGTTGATTTTCGGCCTGTCGTCTCCTTCTAACTTTCGCGTTGGATGTTTCAGGGCTAGGGTTTAGGGCTGCGGTTAAGGGTAGGGGCTAGGGCAACTATTTCTCAACAACTTAATGTACAACCGTGCATCCCCAATAGCTTTTCTTTTGCATACAATTACTTGACCTCGTCGCCTGTGCGTTCTCCGAACCCACCTGTAAAACCCCCTATTACCACCAGTCCCGTATTACGGGTGCCTGGGATTTGTTTGCCTCGGGTGCGGCTACATAACCACATCTGACCGTCCAGTTTGATTTGTAAATCATACTCGCGGGTAAACGTTTCGACGGATAAAGTAGGTGGATAGTGGACACATCCCAACTACCACAGTAATCAGGGTCCAGTTCTGTTCTGAGGGGAAAAAACATCAGCGGGAGGCGTGTATTCTGTGCAGAAGCTTGATGTGGATCCCGTCACTCGACGCGCGGCCAGCTTTGGGTCGGTGCGCGCGCGCGCGCGTCCCCGTAGGGGTGATGCGGACGTGAATGACTAAGTGCCATGTGCGAGCCAGTGGCTTTTAGAGCGACGATTTGGTTGGGTGATTGCGAAAATTCTGGGAGCCTGCAACTAGTTGGTCTAGGGACTGCATGTGCGCGTGCTCCATCCATTCAAAGAGCGTGGTCGTACGATTCCTAACGCAGGTTACGTGAAGGAAGCTGAAGGTAGCAAAAGCTCATCAGAAACAAAGGCGCCCACCCGCAACAAACTTTCGGCGGAAACAGCATGCCGACGAAAAGCAGTCGCCGAGAACGCGCGTAATCTACTCATTTTAAGATTGTAAAGGCGTCTTAGCAACGAAATTTTCTTTACACTCACATTAGTCGAAGGAGGCAAGTATTCGGGGGACAAAATATCCCAACTAGCAAATGAACAGCCCCTAGTCTGCGGAAGACAGAAGTTCGTTACTTAAAGCGTGGTCGTAAACAGTAAAACTGTTGATAAAGTTATGCGCCTGGTCCACAAAGACTAGATGTGAGCGGTTACTTCGACCGAATCCGACCAGGACCTGATTTACATAACAGCAAGCCGGCGACAGAAATCAGGTTGGCTGATGCCCTGACACTTAATTGCCCACGAAATAATTGCGGGTCCAACCCACAAACTGCAATGTCAACCGCACAGCCCTCCGCTCTGTGGCCGAGAAAGCTTGGCTATCGTGAGGGAGGCTTGGTTTTCGGATATACGCATCAGGAACTGAACTCCTGACCTGAGTATAGCTCTTTGCAAAAATTCGCGGGCTTAGGGCGCATTTTGAATGTTGGCGTGCGAGGATCATCGATCGCAGCCAGAAACACCCACTTTCCCCATACATACAGCGTAACTTGATAGAGCAAGTTTTGACTGTATTCGTCAGTGATTTCTGGGAGCCATCAGAGAGGATATATGTACAGAGAGGATGAACAAGGACATCTGATCCCTTAAGGCGTAGATCCAGTCCACCACATCACTCCAAATTCTTCCTTTTGAAAGTCGCTCGGAGTGTATCATGCAGCTTTTGAGCCTATTAGAGTTGCGTTTAAATTGTAACAAGAAAGGGGACAACTCACCTTGACACCACCAATGCCCGGGCAACTTTCAAGTGATTCAACATCGGCTTTCATAATACTGGCGATACTCTAACAAAAAAGCGCGAAACAGGTTAGTGAAAGAAGCAGAGAACGGACGGTTCGGATTAAGGCTAATACTTACGCCGAACTTGGTTAGAAGGGCAGCCGCGTCTGACTTTGAGATGTGCCGAAGAGAGGTTAAAAAGCCCGTCGCTAAGGCGAGATGGTCATTCTTGGCGTCACCATCAGGTAGCAAGTCGTCTGGCGGTTTGTTTATAGAGGTTTTGAAGGTTTCCAGGTAGCGGGCTGCTTCGGTCGGGCTAAATCGGGTCAAATACAACGACTGCTCCACACTTACCTCCAGGCCAGCATAACAGTAACATTCTGGGTAAGGCCAAATTTGTCTAACTCCTTGAGTGGATGATGCGAATCGTCCTTTGGGGCGATGCATATAAAAACATGTAGGGTCAATTAAACTTACCACATCCACCAGGACAATGAGGACCGTCAGTTTGTAGGCCTCCCTGATCTTTTGTAGGCGTTCGAAAATATACTCGGGGTTGAGATTGTGGTAGCGAAGGCTAATTATGGGGAAGAAGTCACCAGGTTGCAGTCAAAATATTAGATTGTGTGCACGGTACCCTAAACAACTTGTGTTGTCTGATACAGTTAGTGACCTAACTCATGAAATGTGTCGAAATTTACGAATGAATGTCAATCACTCGCAAAGTGCACGCCGTTGACGGATTTCTGTGTACTTTGTATTTTTGCATGGCGAGGCCAAGTAAAAATTTGACAGTTTGGGCGGTTTATTTCGCGTTCCTAAGCAATATCAATATTTGTCAACGGCAAACGTAAGAACATGCCTTTCTGTATACATTGAGGCCATTTCCACTGTTTTTGTTCGCCTTTAGACTCCGTTCTTCGATTTTGTATGTATGGCAGAGCGCCTATATAAATACTGATATTTTGCTGTAACTATTAATGCTTTGCTCGTTCTATTTCTGAATAAAGTATGCACAGAAGCTAAACTACACAACAAGTAGTGTTTCATATGTTTAAAGCTGGAAATGACCGTTCCGTGATGGTCATCTATGTGACATCAGCTAGAATTTTCCAAACGGCAAAGCAATTTCAGCCCACTTACACATAGGAATCACTATCTGCGTTATTACTGCATTTTAGGACACCATATCGCACAGAACTGCTAATTTGACACTTAGGAATTGACAAAGCCTCTGGTTTTCTTAAAATAACCTTCTTGTTAGCAGTTTGATCACCATGGACATCGGACATAAAATAAAATTTCTAGTCCGGCTAAATCTCTTTATTAAAACTCTCGCAGGTAAATTACTGTCCTTCCAATGAAAAAGTCGCTCACATGCGTAACCGGAGTCTAGGACATGTATTAGCATAGGAAATTGCACGAATATATTCCAACGTCCATTTTCGCTAAAATTTACTGATACTTCATTTGATATAATTACGTACACACAATTTCTACACAAGAAAATGACATTTTATTGAAGAAAGTGGATGAGCGAACAAAATGCTCAACCTTAAAGGCGTCCAGAAATTCTCCCATGAGATTCCGTTATCAGATTTCATGAGATAGGTCACGCACTGTAACTATGGCCGATTTTGCTGCTACGGGACGTGAGGAGATGCTACTTAATTCAAAAGAAGCGTCTCCCCCCCTTCCCCACCAAAGGGGATCGAGCTGTCAGCCGTGAGTGTCCGTGTCCGTTGCCCTACGGCCTGAGCTACAAGAGACGCATGCCGGCTGCGGGAATAATCGATATTCCCCCCAGGCTGACGGCGCAAGTCATGAGGAGGAAGAATCGATTGTTTGCCCAGCCAGCGAACCGAGGACAACCCGTTTCCGGCTTAGTGACCTTTACAGTCGCGTACACTGTAGCTATGAGGATTTTTTAATTACTGCGATTAAGTTGGAGTTTGGAGAAATGACACTTGGCACACAGAAAGCCAGAAGGTAACATAAGAAGTACCTCAAGAAGAAAGCACATTGGCTCGGTCCAAACAAGTAGTCCGGCTGAATGTCTGCGTACTCCCAGGCGACATTGCGAAGCAGCTCGAGTAGAGGATTCCCTCTCTGGTAAAGGGGTGCAAAGATGTTGAGGGCATATTAACAAGGTAACTGGCCTGCCAATCCAAATATATGGACTGATATACTTTTACTTGCTTATATATAGTAAATGACGGCGAAGAAATCTACGTTCTTTTTTCTCGAAAGACACGGAGAATGTGCAGCTGTTTCGCAAACATTCTGGTTACAAATAATCGAGAATGATGACTAATTATTCAGATAATAAGGCAAAAAACAGGCAGAGGCGGATAAATTGTCTGGAAAAAGGATTTTCCACTCGGGAATACAGCTGGAAGGTAGAGAAAATGAGTAGGACAGCCCAGCATCTGGTTGTGCGAAAGTGGAAAAACGATCTTGCACAGTCGCCCAAATTAGACCGTTATAAGTTAAAGTATGTTGATTTTAAATTATCAGCGTTTACCACTCGGACGATTACACGGACAAGGGGAAACGGGGATATACGGCTGTCAATTTAACATTTGATGAACTACCCTGTTTTGGGTGTTTAGTCCCGGAAATTTCTCCATGATTCTCAGACTAAGCAGCCACAGAGAATTTTCAAGTACAGTTGAATGCAACTGCTTGAGATCATGATTTTCTGTGGTGAAATTTAATTATTGCCTGTCATTTATCATTAAGAAGTTAATTCGACTATTTTGCCATGACAAATTGTAATTTTTATTTATATTGAGAAAAAACTGCATTTAAAAACCTGCTGCCACTGCAGGTGAAACATTTCTAGGAAAAAACACCCCAAAGAGGACACCTTAGGTGCTTACCTGAGCACCATACTGACACCTAAAGTATGCTTACGTTTACGGTTGTCATGCTTAACAAACTGAATAGAGTTCATGGTCAGTGATCCATTTCCATTGTCTCTTGGTCTTTCCCAACCAAGTACAGCGTTTTCGAGCACTTAGCTGTGGGTCATGCGACAGTGTGGCGCGACCAGTGTCTGTCTAGAAAATATACTAACCAGATGACAAACCCGACGGATGTTTTCAGTTTAAGATATAAAAAATATTAGTTTTTTTGGGTCAGGCACGGGGATACTGACCGCCCATGTGGTAGACGTGCCCCTGTTCTAAGCTTCAGGGAGGATGTCGGTTCCCGTGTCCTAACTTTAACCCTAACCCTCACCATGACGGTAACCCTAAACACCCTGGAACTTAGCGCAAAGCCAACTGTAGTACGCGGGTCGGTATTTCCGTGCTCTACCTTTTGTTGATCTGCCAAATGTACAGTAACCAGAGACAGGCTGAAGCAATTATTTTGATTCCTAAGCAACCCGCGTGTTTTCACAAAAGAGGTGCACCATGACGGCACCCATTGTTTCGAAGCTATAGTATGCAGTATACGGAAAATAAACCAGTGAAAAGGACGTACTTGACGGAAATTTACGAGGAGCTTTGAACTGCTGACACTGGCTGCAGCCTGTGACGTGAGGCGCGTTCTGAAGCGTGTGATAAGAAAAAAATTAGTGTTCATGAGGAGGGCATCAAGGTCAACAAGCAGGCAGTCAGAGGGATGAAAGTCAGAATCGACAGCAGTTCTTCCCGATAGTGATTCCCTTCAAAAACAAATCCGCAAAAAGGGAACAACATGCCGTGAGCAGCCGTTGAGGCTTGCAGAATGTGCTCTGACGCTGACCATACAGCTAATTACCCCGGCGGGTAAAACCTCGCGGTGCCAATAAGAGCGCAGGCTGACTAAATCAGTCGGGGGATTGGGAGCCTTGCGAGGTAGCATTCGAAGGTGCGTCTGTCAAAGGACAATTGGTCTGGGCAATATGCGAACTTCTGTAGTTTCGTACACCTTCAACTGAGACGAAATCTAATCCTGTGTTTGGCGCAAAGAACTAAAAAATCTGTTCAGTAGATGGCATTGATGAAGAAATCCAGGGTCTGCTCCGCAAGAACGAGTATCCTGACAGATTGATTGTACGGCATCTTCCCGAATGACCGGCAAAACTCATCATACCGACGGCGAAAAAGAAAACTCTGCCGCTCAGAGTCCCCTTTTAAGGGAACGCGGCCGGTGAACTCCTGAGAAGACGCCTTGGCCAAGCCATTTCACGAATCCTCCCGGCAGCAAGAATTCAAGTATTGTTCTCAACCAAGCCCGTCTTACGCGTGGAAGGTAAGGGTAGGCTACCAGCTCAGACCACCTCTATGTGCACTTGCTCCTGTGGAACAAACTATATTGGTCGTACGAGTCGGCGCCTATCTGCATGAATACCGGAGCAGCTGTCGACATGGCTGAAGAAAGGTGAAATTAAGAGCACACATAGCTCCATCCTCGCACACATGGTTGGTTCTGGGCATCGTGTGGGCCCCAACGAAGCCCTTCGGGTGATTTGCAAGTTCCTACCTAGCTAGCCTAAGCAATTGAGTCGGCGCTTACTACCAATGGCAGAAGCGACTGCTATCAGACTACAGAGGCCGACCCTGTGCGCGCAGAAGAACCTCTTGCACGCTCCGCGTCTACCGTGGTCAAAGATCGATTAACGGCATGCATGTCTCCAGGTCCCCGTTTCCCCGACCCCTCCCCCTGTGACACGGCTCTACCTAACTCCCACTGTCAATTACTACCTCCTCTCCCCCTATTCACATAAACACCACTTGTATAAAAAAACGAACCGCAATCGATCTCTCTTATCGCTTACACGTTTTACTTTGTACCTCGTTCCAATGCACTGGCCTGATGGGAATTTATCGAAAGCACTCGTATGCTCTCTAAATGGTTTTCTGACTTGCACCATGGCAATTTTCGTAACTCGTACAAATGAGTAAATTTAAAGAAGGGTGCCCACTGGCAACGGCCACACTCTGGCAAAGGGCGAGACTGGCCGGGTAAACAGTCTCGGTAAGCATCATGTCAAATGAAGCGGTTCGGGTAAGTGAGATCGTCAAAATGACAATAGCGCCTTGTCAAAACAGAAGGTCACGAGTGGGTGGCTTGGCTTGGGTATAGGCAAATCAAGCTACGACCGACTTCAAGGCAATCGATAAAAGTATGTGAGCAGAAGAGAGCTGGTGTAGCCTTTCAAGAGCGGCGCGCCTAAGCAGCTCATGGCTCGATGGGAGCACACTAACACGAGGCTAAATAAAAGCGGCCCAACGCCAGTGAAAATGAACCCACAAGGCGGCGGGACAAAAAAGAGAAGGGGAAGGGTCACATAGCTGCCCCGATCAAGTATTACGCCCGGAGTCACCTCACGCATCTGGAAATTATCTTGCAAGCGCCGGATAATGAGTGTTGGAAGAGAGCAGGGCGTCGTCCGGCGACAGCGTCAGTCCGAAGCCTGGCAGAGAAACAAAAGCGGTTCTCACACCAGCTGTGTGCCTGATTTAGAAACTCAACAAGCCTAATACCGATACCGAATAGCCGGACACAATGACTGGGGGGCGGGGGCACGTAGTCCGCACGATCAAAGTTCCCACGCTGCAGGTGCCCGGAGGGTGCAGAAAGGATGGCTAGGACAGATTTCGGGGCGGTGCGTCCATGGGGAGAACAGACACAATGTTACCGCCACTGGCAGGTGACTATACAATTTACTCCCAGAACTATGTGAGAGCCTTCCCATTGGGGTACCCAGCCCCCAAGGAAGGACCCACGAGTGTCTACTAGGAGGGGTGCGTCGACAACATTCCGGAAGTTCATGTTGAAACGATGGCAACTTTCAACGTAAACTACTTTGGATGCTCGTTGCGTTATCATACCACAGAGCTCTCTGTCTACCTTCAGGAAGAAACCTTTAAAAACCTTGTGGTTTTTAACCGCGTCAAGAGTAAATTGTGGCGGGTGCTGTGTCCCACGTACGGCAACAGAGGAGAACGCAACAGCAATAGGGGGAAGGCGCTAGTTATCAGGTGGCGGCTCATTCAGCGGGATGTGGTCATCCTTTCAAGACGCCGAAATCCTCGCGAGGAGTGACAACCGCGTGGGCCGCGAGCTGTTCGAATCATGGTTCTCCGGCACACAGTCCATCAAGAAACACAATGACCTCCCGTTGTCATTCCTGTGCTGAGGCTTTTCCTGGGCGGGGGAATCAGTCACGTGGGGAGGGCGCGGACGAGTAATTACCCCAACAGCAGTGAGCCAATTTGCCGAGCAATCGTCACACCAGCATCCAGCACGGATGACGAAATCACGGCGATTAACGACTCGAACTCGGATTAACAAGCCACCACCGCATCAATTACGACCCCAGCGGTGATAGCAAGAGCTTATAATTACAGTGCGCATATGGTGCTACGACAGCCACGTTCTATAACTACTGCACTCCTTGTGCCACCATCACCTTTATCTCCGACTGTCTGTGATTATGGGTTCGAGTGAGAATCCGAAACGTCAGGCCAATGACCGCATCTTTCTCTTCTGAACTGTTTCCTGGAACTCGCCTGTTTGCTTCTAGAGGAGTCCTTGCTTGAAGTTCGAATCCCCGTAAGGTCAGTAGGAACAAGAAAATGACCTGAAAGAGAATCAAAAGGTGGGAGGTGGAATCTAAGTAATTTACCCCCTGGATGGATCCGGCAAATCGGTGAGAGGGACCTTCTGTGGAACACCCTGACTGGTTGACGCCTCTTTCATCGGCGAGAGCTGGAGCAGGGGAGGCGCGCCACATAGTTTACCAAAGGAGGAACCCGACTGAGGATGGCGAGGTTTCAGCCAGGAGGCAGGGACACGAGGTCCTTCGGCTGCTTTTGATCCCAATGGAGCTGGTGGGGCTACTACAGAGCTGGGCTTCGATGCAACTGGCTGCGTGCATACGGACTCGGGATCAACTAGGCCTTCGCGATAATCTGAGAACAGTTGGAGACCGGAGACGACGGGGGAGCCCTGCGTGACATTTTAAAAGAAAATAAACTGAAAGGACTGACCGGATCCAGTTGCCAGACGGGAATAAAGCTGAGCCAAAAGGGACATTCTACCTACTTGAACGTTTGACATGACAGGATCATTCGACCCTCGTTACCGACGATGCCCACCTTATAGCACACAACAGGGAAGAAGCAGGAACGGCAGAATACACGTGGATTAGTTTGTAATGATACAAGACTTGCATGCATCTACCTCACGCCCCTGAGCCCGGATGTCAAGACAGAGCCAAGAGGGTTGGGGGCGAGATCGGGCGCAAGGGGCAACTGCGGTACGAGCTCGCGCCATCACACCTCACATCCTGAATAGCATTTAACATGAGTGTACAGCCCAAAAACGCTGCCGAGCCCTGATCTGGCCCTTGGTGTTGGCTCAGCGCATCTACCGCGTGGCCAGTTGTAGGGGGCCGGGTAACAATCGGGAGATGAAACTGAGGTCAGGTGAAACAACAGATATGTACGGATATTGCCTACTTAAATAAATATAGTAGGTATTCTTTCTAGGCAACAGATCTTTAGGTGTCCTCTCCCGAATGTTACCGGGGGCCGAATCGAATGCTAACTAAACAGGGACGCACAGACGGTAAGCGCCCAGAACTTCGAGCAGTGAGTAGGAAACAAGACTAGCAAGGCAATCCCAAGCATACTTAAGGTCGACTCGGCAGGGGGGCCCCCAGTTGAGCAGAACTCGGTGGGCGCTCATTTGGATGTGTGCAAATGCAAGTCCACACACTGAGATCTGGGGCTCAGAGGCTAGTCACATTGTAATGGATCCTGACCAGATAGAGGGAAAAAGTCGTATATTTTCTGGCAAGAAGCAAAAGACAAAAATCACAGTTGGGTTCGCACCCACAGCTGCAAAAGCTCTGGTATGTTTTGCGGAACTCACGAAAGATTCCTCGAGCAGTTCAAACCTCGACTTCCCGCCGGTGCCCGAATCAGATGGCTGATCAGCCTAAACAAAGAGCAAACAATCGAAATGGTAGAAAATTGCAATTTGTACTGCTGCATTTTAACTGAAATGCCGTGAGAGAAGCAGGGTGTACAGACGGAGTAAAACGACGGCATATGGTGGCGAGATTTTGGGAAGGAAAGAGACTGGAAGAATAAAAGCCAGGTAGAAAAATGAAATTTAAGGATCATAAGGGCCGCCAAAACACAACTCGTCTGTCGGACACGTGATACTCTGGATTCATAAACGCAGTTACGTGGTGCGTGGAGGAGACCAAAAAGACACGGATACGTGTAAGACACGCATTGAGGACCGGCTCCTTCACCAAAGGCTAGGGGAACAACGAACAATTACGTTACAGCGAAGTTGGCCGATCAGGCTTGGGTTATAGGGCGAAATGTAGGGCTTCCTTGAGATCCTATTTAGACCTGCCTCGGACGTCAATACCCCTCAATCATTGATTGCTCCTCGCGAACAGTCCGACTTTCATCCTCCAACCAGCATAGCTGGTGAACGTCACTACCAGATGGCTAAACTAGCATGCGCAATCGCAACCAACAGAGCGTGAGCAGGCAACTCAAAGGCATTGGGCTGCAGATCCAATTCCAAGTTCTTCTTCTCCTCTAAAGCTCTATCATGGCCGGCTGTGGACGTTAAAGAGTCCAAAAGCCACCGGACAATCGAGCCTGTGCTTCCCGGTAAGAGCTCGCGCGAGTAAAGGAAGTGATGCCACAGGAATCACTGCCAAAGTTCCATTGGACCCCGACGAGATTTTGCAAGTTATCTGGTCAGCACCCATCTGAGTCCCAGCAAACAGCTGCATACCACAGGTCTGCGCGCCTGCCTGCCTCCCTCTGGTTGGACACCTGGGGACCCACAATGCTGGCGGAGGATTCCGCTGCTTGAGATTCGATATAACTGTACCTCAGTTTCCCACTGGTTAAATCATGCAAGCCTGACTCCCAGTGTACATGTAAACTGCTAGCGCAGACGACTATTTCACTTGTCTTAAGTGACACAGGAAAAGAGACCGATATATTATAAGTAGGACGACGTCCTTTCGCAACTTCCCTTCAGATGACTGCCTAGGACGCACGCGTAAGCGACTGCGGACTCAAAATTACCCAAGAAGGACGTCAAAGGCGGGCATACGAGTCTGTTATGACCGGATGTGAATTTACGGCACCGAAGAAGTCGTGGCCTGAGGGCTGCTCACCTTTCTAATGTGGCCTTACAAGAAGTCTCGCATAGTGCATATTTGGGCGACTTGAGCCAAATTGTGGGAATTTAGAGAGCAGCATGTATGCAGAAAAAAAAAGACAACGGGAACTGGAATGGCCATTTCTGGTCTATTAGCCGTCGTCAGCCAGTCATACCCAACCCCGAGGTGTGGAACACCTGGGGCTCGTAGGCATGTTACATACGAGAGACAGTGCAAGCACCCGATCAGCCACTGAGGCTGATCTTATCTCTAGCTGATTACACTCAACTATAACATTGGCTCGTCATGGGGGAGGGAGCTAGGAATGATATTGAGCCTGTGCAGTCGATGCTATAACAAATCGTACATTCTGGCGGGTTGCCACAGTAGCACCCGTAAGCAGAAACCGAGAAATGGTCACTGCAGACTACCTCAACTTTGTTGGAATCCCTTCCATGTTGACGGAAGTACTGATAGAGACGTTCACTTCTTTCGAGTCAATTTAATGATAAGCTGAGTGAAGAGCCAGAGGAACTGTAGTTCATCAAATACTGGTCGTACGTCCGGCCAGATGGATCGACCACATCGTAATCAATTCAAGGCTTCGTAGCTGAGTTCGTGAAGGCAGATCGATGCGCAGTGCCGAGAATGGCAGCATCAATGAAGCAGACTGCGTTATGGTTCGCGCGAGATTCTTTCGCTTGAGACGCCTTGAAGTCACAGAACTACGATAAACTAACACAATCGAGACTCGGAACACAGAACTACGGTTTCGCTTTGCTACCTGCGTCGAGAGAGAGAGAGAGGCCAGTGGCAAAATAGCCATGGCTAAAGTCTCACCAAATTATTCGTCAAGTTCGTGGTGGGCCGTCCACACTGAGTGCGATGTGAACCACAGCCTTATCGCTAACAACCTGGCGAAACCGACGGTGTCCGTCTACGGTAGCATGAGAACCATGCTTTATGTGCAGCACAGTGTCCTCTTCTCGAAGGCATCCACTGCGACCTCAGCGCGAGGACATGTCAGGTCATCTAGTAAAAACCAATTAAAGTGGCTCGAGAGCGTTCGGAGTTGGATATGACTGGCTGACGACAGCTAACATGCCAGAAATGGCCATTACAGTCCCCTTGTCCTTGTCGGTAACAACAGACTGCCTATATCATGCGCGGATGTGCGGCTGCTGGTTGGGCTCGAGAGACAGAGCCCGTATGGCACAAAGGAACGAGTGGTTTCCGCAAGAACGATCAGTGAGCACCCCCTACCGGAGCGTTCGTCGCCTGCCCTTGAGTTTTGTTGCACTCGATCTGACGCTGAAGTCAACCCGGAGGCAGCGAAGAGGTCAGTCTAAGACTTGGCTCAACACTGTCTGTCACAGCATGGAAGTGATTCTTGGCTCTTCAGCATCCGTGGCTAGAGAAGGCAGTGTGACAAACGCTCCGGATTGGCTGCCGCAGAACGGTGAGGCTACGATTGGCTAAATGACCAAGGGCGGCAAAATCGAGGACTGCCACAGTTATGCCCATTGAGTTTGCAATTATCTTAGGAAAGGTTTTCGAATAGTTGACCTAGGTAGACAGAGCAAGAATTTTAAAAACAGCTAATCTTCTAGATCATATGAAGTACATAGTAATCTCGCTACTCGACATGAATCACCCTAAAAAGGACTGCTGAAATGCATGAAATTAAGAATAGCACCCGTCTAAAGGAAAGGTTTCTTCCTGGCAAGTCGACAAAACTAGACCGGAGACGTCTTGACAGCATCGCACGTCTTACTAATGAGACCTGACGAACAATCGTGGCGCCAAGGGATCTACTTTTTTCAGTCCTGTTTAATTAAGAGAAATATAGGCAAACGCATTTGAATTCCCTGTTGGTTACAAAGTGCCCGAGAAAAAGCACTGAAAGGTAAGGAAGACGCAGGAAGAGATTGTTTACATAATTGCATGAGAAAGACAAAGAGGTGTCTGCTAATCGAGAAAGAGTAAAAAATGAACGTCTAGATAGCAAAACCGCACTCTGTGGGAGACTTCTCACAATTATCGAGTGCTTACCCAATGTTGGCCCTTGAAGTTGGGGTTATATTGGTCGATCGAATGGGCGCCTATTCAAAAAAATATGGGGACACCCCCAAGCATGGCCGAGAAAAGGCGAAAGCATAAAAACCGCCATTATCGCAGTGCTGATTCCGGGCATTATGCGAAGCCCAACGAAACCTTCCGTGTGATTTACAAGGACTTACCGAACTACCCTAAACCACTGTGTCAGTGTCTGTTGGCAACAGCAGAGATTATGACCAACAGGCCGATCTTGTACGCACATAAGAACCTGGTACAAGCTCCATACCTACCGTGGCCAAAGGTCGGTTAAGTGCATGCGTTCCTCAGAGCCCTCCAACTCACTGTCTCCTATTACTTTCCGCCTACGCACACGCGTGACAAGGGCTGAAGGCCCATCGGCACTGCATCGTTCGGTGGCTGGCCGCTGGCGCACGCACAAGATTCGCGCGGGACATTGAGGGTTGGTCCTCGGCTGAATTGAGTGCTTTCTGAAACTGCCTTTTGAGCTGCGTGTACGCTCTCTGGCCTCGGTAAAGCTTGCCCAATGACTTTTTCTGCCCTCATGTGTGATTTCGTTAATTTCGCGCTGTCGCTTCGGTCACGCTTCGGCATAATCGCTAAGGCTTGCCAACCACTATGCTTAGGCGTACACCAGATCGATTTAACTGTAATAAGTTGCGGCAATGGTGTGAGGTAAATGCAATGCAATAACATTTCACCCCGAAGAGATAAATACACACCCCCGGCTGCGCTCTCGCCATTTGCCACAGTGGAGCTGCTTCCTAATGAGTTTACTGGGAATTGGGTCAATGAGGTCGATGTCCGCTTTCCGCTTTTCAGAAAAGACAATTTATACAATTTAGACTGTCAAAAGATCCCACAGTGGGTACCTACGTTGTAACACCAAGCTTGTGGAGGCGAAAGTTATGGCTAAGTTTATTGGGGACTGTATTGAGAGAAATGAGTATCCAAACCACTACAGAAGAGCGCTGCCTCGTAGTCGTACAGTGTGACCGAGTCTTATGAATATTTCTATGGGAATTTTCACACATCTAATCATAATCCACGCGGTCTTTCTTATTCTGTATGCAAATGCAAGGGAACAAACTTAGTCCTCTCGTATCCACGTCAAATATCATTTCTTATCAAGTGATAACTGAACAAACGCCCGATCTTTCAGTCGTATTATCTTGAGCTGTTTGTGCCTTAATTTATGACGAGCTTAAAAATTCTGCCCCTCTAACTTTGGAAAGACATGTTTTAGGTTTCACTCCGATTAAATTTACAAAGTTGCAAAGCTAATAAGTTGCGTTTCGCGCTATCATCCGACTTTTTTCAGTCACCGTCCCTTCAATTTCCATCCGAGGCTTTGTATGCGGCATCTAGATCAGTGTGCTTAGTAATGCATGATCCGTATCGGTGTATGACCTCGAGGAACTATTGGTCTTTCTTGGAAGAGCTGACACCGACAGTGCGAGCTTTGTGGCGAACGAAGATGGGCCAGTTTGGGCAGACGACCTCACCTCTCTACTGTTAACTGATGTCCATGAAAGTGTGTAGATGCATATTTTTTAAATTTGCTACTTAAGCAATCATTTCTTGCACAATGTGGTTTTTGAACGCAACCAGAAAGAAGTCCGTTCGGAAACCAAGGTAAGTTAATTATTATATAATTATGCTGCGCAATGATTACCTTTAGAGCCCTACTTAAGTAATCTTTTCACAACGAAAACACATTTCGGAGTTTCGGTCAACATGACTTAGCACACCTACTGTAGGTGGATTACTTAAGAAATCCTGCTTGGGCAGTCAGCTTACTGTATCAGATTTGGTGGATTGCAGATGTTGCAGTAGGTTGGGCTGGTGATTTGACCCAAATGTCATTAAACTCACGTCTCCCGGTGGGGCCTCGTAGCTCAGGTGGCTAGAGCGTTGGCTGTACTAAAGCCTTCCCCTCGCTGTCGTGGGTTCGAATTCCACCGAGGTGTCGAGTTTTTCACAGTTGGGTCAGTATGAATAACCCAAGAATCTGCCAAAGCATCTATATATTTTTGCTAATGTCAATTCAAAATGTCCAACTGAAGTGACGGATAGTTGTGTTCGTCAGGCATGGTGACCAGGGAGTAGTGATAACCTGGGCAATATCACAATCTTACTCTCCCTACAAAACCCCTCCCATTCCGATGGCATAAATAAGTAGGGTTGGATTCAGATGGGCTATGACACAAAGATCTCGTCTGCGCGTACCACAACACGGACAGTCCCCTCACAGAATCGAGCATACAAACTCGGCAGTACTTGAGAGAGACGGAGAAAAAAGACGACCAGCTCAACCCATCTGCTGAGGCAGTTTTCGGAGCGTGACCATAGCGTCTAGCACAACCTAGTGGAGCCTCAGACGGCATCTAAAAACTCCAACGTTCACTCATACGCACGCGATCAGAGGAGTAGACGAAGCTCATTCAGTAGGTCATTTATTACTGACTGGTGTTCAACAGAAGAGGTAAAAGACAAGGAATGCGAAGACAAAGGATGATATGCAGAAAAGACAGCCAAAAGGAGTCAGTGAAGAGACAGAAGTCATGGCGATGAGTGCTGATGGTTATTCGAAGAATTATGTACTCCGGAGGGATAATCGCCACAGGACACAGGCTTTATGTGCGACAACTTCTTGCTCTTCAAACCCAGATATTGAAATGTGCGGGGTTCGCCCGAGGGCAACCGGTAAATGGAGGAAAATTCGGAGAGAAATGCTTCAAGGTGGGGGTTACCGCCCAGGTCGGCGACGATATTTCTGCACCTGCACGGGAAGTGAGTAGGAAAGGGCGTCAAAGTGGTGATGCGATAATTAACCCTGTGTGATACTTCTTCCATTACAAATGGTGATGGTAGCAGAGCACAAACTGTGTCGTCTGGTCCATATGACAAAACCGCATAATAAACAAGGACGGTTATGATGCCAGGGACGGACAAAAGATGTTAGTAGTATTTAAGGCATATGTTTAAGTACAAATAGGAACCTGACCTGATAGGACCAGTTACAGGAGCACGGATTCAAGGTTAGTAGACTGAAGGGTAATATGCTATTCTTCTGAAAACCATGCTGTGCACGTTTCACTCTGTAAGGCAGACGTACTTATAGGGCCGAATACACCGCTCGAATTTCGCAAATGCTACTGTCACTGTCTTACATAGGCCTCCGAAGCAATCTGCAGACGAGGATCAAACGTTGATCATGAGACTTTGCGAAACCAGTCAGAGGGAAAACGTGGTTATTGTAGGAGATTTAGATGTTCCGCAGGTTGAGGGCAGTTCAGGGTCATGGGCAAGGATTCGAACAAATCCTATTGGACGTAATACTCGATGAATTCGTCTTCCAAAATGTTCGAACAGCCACTCGAATGCGTAATGGACAGAGGTTTAGTCGTTTGGACCTAGTATTTACCAAGATGTAAGTGTTAATAAGATGATTGCACCCCAACCCCCAGGTTGTTACGATCACATGACATTAATGCAGGGATCAACACTTGCAGCGGTCGCCGAACGAAGCTCAAAGTTGCCAAAAAATGTCTGGCGGGGGAATTCTAACGCTAGGCGATTAAACACACATACACACACACAATGGGTGAAGGTGTTGAGAGATGTCAACGAATGTTGGGGAACCTTTGAATTAACTAGGAAAAACTTGATTGAAGATTACTATCCGCCCTGGAGACGTTCGACCAGAAGCAGATCGAAATGGCTGACGACGGCGGTAAAGGAGATTTAAAAGGAGCGCAAGTTATGGGAAATCTTTTTACAAACGGAGAGCCCAGGAAAACTTCAAGACTTTAGACGACAACGCAATGTATGCAAAAAATTTCCCCGTGAAAGACGTGCCTCCTGGAAGAGGCATAGCCAAAACCCAAGAAATTCTATGCCTATATCAAGAGTAATACTACGAAACATGAACATCCCGGAACTTTAAAAGGCAAAAAAAACCAAATGCTGACCAACGACCCTCAGAAAGCTGGGCTTCTCTCAGAACTTTTCCAAAGTATTTATATCACGGAAACCCCCCCACCCCCACCCACTCCAGCTTAGCTCTCTGCTTTGGTTCGTCAGCAAACCACTTATGGGCACAGTACTATCTACTCCGTAACTAGTTTTGGCAGAGTTAACGAAGGTGAATAGGGCCAAGTCACCTGCATTGGATGAGATTCTGGGTGTACTCCTATGTCAACTAGCTGATGAATTAGCTGAACCACTCTGTGTATCATCTTTGGGAAATCGCTTGAAGCTGGTAAACTTCCGGATATGTGGAAGTTGGCAAATGTCGTACTCATCCACTGGGGGAGATCACGACTATATTCCACCTACTACCGGTCGATGGGCTTAACATGCATCTGCTGTAGGCTGATGGAAGTAGTCAAAAACAAATTAGCAATTTATTTCACTATCTATCTTACACAGTTGGCACACTGAAAATTGCCTGTGAAATATTCGCAAGCTAATAGATTTTCAAGATTTTGAGGAACTCGGCTGGGCGGATAACGTGACCGACATGTGATTGAATTCACGGTCCCCGATAGAGCCTGGTAGCTCAGATGGTTAAAGGGCTCTGTACTCAGGCCTTGCACTTACCGTCGTGGGTTCAAATCCCACCGAGGTTGCAGAGTTGTTCACATTGGGTCAAATGAAGTACTTCGATCTGCCAAAACACCAATTATATTGTGAACGATATTTCAGCAGCAGCGTTACAGCGGTAAAATTGATCCGTCAGTGGTATGCGCGAATCTACCTATGGACAAAGCAAGGGACATAGTTTTTTGAATACTGGAGGCAATGTAGCCTTCGCGAATCCATCTTTCTGCTCAGTTGCACATTTACTTTGGATGAGAACTCTTCAGAACGTACCCAGCCTCAAGGAGGCAAAACCTAATCTGTACTAATTAGGACTTCCGTCAGGTCAGTGCTGTATCATAGTAATGCCCTCTAACAAAATTCAAATTACTGTCGGACGGACGGTGGCTCGAGCGCCACGGGCGACGACGTCTAACCCGTGTTTTGGGGAGTGGGCGCGGCACCCCTAAATTGCGTCGGGGTCAATTTGTAGCGGGGCAGACTTGCGCAGAATCTCTGGCGCTCTCTCCTTCCTCATTCACTTTGCTCTGATGGCAAGAATACAGTAGGTGGGCTAACTCATCGAATGTTAACCGAAATTCCGAAATGCGTTTTCGTTTCAATAAGATTAATTAAGTAGGGTTGTAAAACCAATCAGTGCGAATCGTAATTGCATAACAATTCATTTACCTCGGGATGTCGGCTTTCGAATGAACTTCTTTCCGGCTGCATGCAAAAACTATACTCTGTAAAAAATGACAGCTTAATTGGCATGCATTTTTCTCATTGATTTTTGATGCTCTTAGAAAATCAATAATATTTCATAGAAAACATGCATAAAAATATTCATTCTCTTTCTCATTCGGTAGAAAATGGCGTCTTCCAATTTCATACTCGAAGGAAGGGTATAATTCGGTTTTAAAAAACTTTTCCAATTCCCGAATACATTTGAACCCGACCTGCCTTTACACTTGCATTCAGGGTTTCCAAACTAAAAGCCGTATATTTTCCGCGTACGGAAAACCACACATTTCTCTATGGTAATAAGGGGGATCATATAGGGTACAAAAAATTAAGCAGTGGATTTGAGCTATATTGTTAATCTTACAAACCATAATAGTAAATGCCGAGACATGACGTTTTATAAACGGCCATTTCACGGTATTAAAAAATCTCACAATTAGAAACTTTTTGAAAACCGAATTGTACCCTTCCTCCGAGTGTAAAATTGGAAGAAGACGTAATTTTCTACCGAATGGGCAAAGCATGAATATTTTTATGCATGTTTTCTATGAAATATTATTGAATTTATAAGGGCATCAAAAAGCAATGAGAAAAATGCATGCTATTTAATTTGTCAGTTTTTTACAGAGTATAGTTTCTGCATGCAGCCGGAAAGAAGTTCATTCGAAAGCCGGAATCCCCAGGTAAGTGAATTATTATGGAATTACGATTCACAATGAATAGTTTTACAAAACTACTTACTTAATTTTTTCAAAACGAAAACGCATTTCAGAATTTCGATTGACATTTTATGAGTTAGTCCAGACCGGAGGTCGGCTCCGGCTCCCATCTGCAAGTGTCAGACGACGGCCCGGTTCCTATAACAAACAGCAGGCTTCTGTGAGAGCGGCATGAATTCCATGGCAGTGAGGGTGCCATAAAGGCCCCATTAAAAAGGAGCCATTGCAGTCTGACTCTCAGTCTTGAGAAGGACCAAGTCATCCCGCAAGTAGGTAACCTTTGAGGCCACCATTCCTAGCGCGTCAGGATGGGGTAAAGCACCTCAAATGCATGATAGTGGCGAAGGCTACATAAATGTCAACAGTTCCCACCAATAACGTAGCTTGTGCCGAGGATGGAAGTGCAAGAAAGTTGATCGTCATGCTGGCCATCTGACAAGCGCAAAGGAGAAGGATATTATAGCAGTGTTCGGGGAAGGTGGATAGCTGAAAAGTAGACTTATGCCTCGCGAATAGGCAGCCCAGGGCCAACAGTGACGCTGCTGTAAAGGCGCGAGGGGGCTCAAGTTTGGAACACCGAATAACCTATAAAGTACTGCAAGAACTGGTGATGGCACTGTAGCACGTCGGCCGTGACCCGCCCTGAAAACCAGGTTCTCTTGCCTCTGATGCCTTGTCGTGATACGACTGTTCAATCGTCGTTGCCGATGATGTTCCCCGTGTGCTCCACATCAAGGTGAGGGCAGGGACAGTGGCTTACGCATGAATTAGTTTATAGTGATAGTGGACTTGCGCAGGGCCTGCCGCACTCTCTCCTCTCCCCCCCCCCACTGGACCCGGTGTTAAGACGGTGTTAAGAAGACCGGAAGTGGGGAAGGGCGCAAGTGGATGACACGGTCGAGCCCGCACCTTGGCACTCCACTCCGCACCCCCTGGTTCACACAACAAATAAACAGGTTTTTGACCAACAACAACAATGGGGGGAGGGGCGGCAGGGTTCCCAGTGCGCGCGACGTCTACTGGAAACCGGGTCTGCCACCGTACCCCGAATGTTGGCATTTGTTATGGTGCGCGAATTCGATAACGCCTACCAGAATCCGATAGGACCCTCGTGTTGCCCCAGCGCATCTACCACATGGCCCGTTATAGACGAACAGGCTAACGCGCAGGAAGAGTTAAGAAGGAGAAAAACAGTCTTGGAGGCTGCTGGAGACTCATACAGACTGAGAATTATAAAAATGCTTAGTTTTAAACAGAGGCCGACTAGATGAGGTGTGATAAAACCGTACCAAGTACATCCAAGTGATAACGATCAAAAACTATGCTGGCATGGGAGGTGAATGATGCATACTTTTCCGAATGCTTAAACGAGTTTTGAAAGCAATTACTTCAGTTGCTGCAGTCCGGTCAACCTGATCGCTGTTAACAGTGAATGAGCCACAAACACATACGCGCAGGTCAGCCAACAGTAGACGACTAAGCAGTTCCCAACGCCGGCATATTACCATGCTCTCACGGGCTGAACCCTTACACATGTGTGAGCTTAGTTAGGAATCGCGCGATGGCCTCGCAAACCGCACAGTTTGAGAGGACAACACTTTGACTGCTAATTGCAATATCAACTTTCCACCGCTAACAGGGACTAAGATCTCATTCTGACGGTTCAACTGTATTCACAGTAGCACTAAATTTCGGATAAATACATCGCATCCCCAAGGATGAAGACTCAGAACGACAGGACCTACTAGAAGGGATCAGCAGATTAGTCTACTCGGTGCGTCCACAGATGGTAAATGGTGTCACGGTCCTCAACAAAGGATAGCTGCAAAATATACAAGCCTACGGGTCTGGGAAATCAGCGTTCGTAGATCATGCAGCGATGGTACTGCCAGACGGAGGTTGGATCCGATCTTGGGAATCAGTCACCTGCAAAAATATCACAAGTCCCAACTATTTAACCACGCAGAGAATGTTCCCCGCAACGCAACACAGCCTCACTTGCCGGCGTCCAGTATAATCCTAGAGTGCAATGATTTACCGTACTAACAACACAGGTATTAGTTAAAAGCCCAGACACGCGTGTTTCGCCGACCTTATGCCGCTGTCTGACGCAGCTGCGAGGGGTTCGGCTCGTCAGTGGGTCCCCCAGCTTTCCCCGTGTGTTTTCTGGTATATGAACTCCAGTTTCAACTTGCCTTGTTTAATTTCCGAGGAAATTAATGCGTGAACTTGGAGTAACTCTTTCGAAGCGGGCCTTTTCAGACACGATCCAGAGTTTGATATTAATATTTGATCTGAAATCCGTCAGCTACTGCGGAATAACCGCTTAATATTCATCTCAAACTCTGGACCGTGCCTGAAAAGGCGCGCTTCGAAAGAGTTACTCCAAGTTCGCGCGTTAATTTCCTCGGAAATTAAACAAGGCAAATAATCCTACAGTCTTGAACTGGTCTGCCAGACAGTAGGATGATGATCTGAGGCTATGGTCGACGCATTCTGATTGGATCTGACGATGGAGCTCGCTTTCCCACCCTAAAACAGCAAGTGAGGGCAAACCATTGTATGCAAAATTAACCGTCCAGAGGAGAGGAACTAATGATGCATGGCCGGATCAACATATTACGAGGGAGGAAACAATAGACAGACATCAGCGCAAGGGCACGTACTGCGTTTCCAGCTGCACCAGTCTCTTGGCTGTGTGATCGAGGGAACCCATGTCTGCCAGGAGTCCAATGCAGTACTGTTTCACGGTATATTCGGAGGTGTGCTGTCGGAGGATGCTGAGGACTTGGCGGTCATGCGGTTGCGCATTGATTGCATGCACAACCGGATAGCTGAATTTGCCCTCTGTGATGTCATCGGCAAAGTCTTTCAGATCGTGGTACTGCGGCCGCAAAAAAGACGGGGGCAGATTAGAACACAGTTGATAGTTTGAACTTCGCATGGGATTATGTCCACCACTATCTTGTGGCAGCTATGTCGCTATGGACGCAGTATGTCAAGATGCGTGTCTAAGTCCGTGTAAACAAAACGAGTTATTGATATTAAGTTAGTAGTATATTTATAGTTCAAACAGTGGACCCTCGCTTTAGACATACCGGGATTCAAGGAGGGGGTTAGGAGTTTGACATGTAGGAGGGAGCCATTGGAACCTGGATCTTACCCCTGAGTGGAGCCGGAGTATTCTGACAATGGTAGAGGGGCGCCAACCGGTCGCGTTACGGAATCCACTCGTCCCGTGGTGCCTTGCGAGGTCGAACCCCAGGGGTCGCACACCTCGAAGTTGGGTATGACTGGCTGGTGACGGCCAGTATGCCAGAAATGGTCATTCCAATCTCCTCTGTCTTTTTCGGTAATGCAAGTATTCCGACAGTTGGGAATATCCCAGCGTATCATGATGCGTATTTGATTACTTATGATGAGAAACGGAAACTCCAGTGTCAGTTTCACTGACTCTTCCCTTTCCTACCTACCAGTACTTATTTAACCGAGATTTGGTGCAGCGACTTACGCGGCACAAAGCTCCATCTAGCGCACACCATGGGTGGCCCGCGTAAACGGGCTGTACAGCCCTCACGCATACGCCCTCCTCCAGTAATTGTTGGAATATGGTAGTTGAGGGAAGAGGGTAGTAAAGATGTCCCACAGGTTCGCTCCACTATAAATGAATCCAAATGGAAGTCGTCACGGCGTTCACATTTTTGAACACTGGTGGGCCTCATCGTTTGTGGGGAGGGCGGTCTCAGTACCGTGTCTAAAGTAAGGAAACTAATGGCATATTACGCTTCACTATCATTACTTTTTTACTGGCAATCTGCCGGAGTCGAGCTAACTGAGGTGGGGTCGGAGTGGTCATGCCTAAAGCGGACAGCGTATCGGCCAACAGCTAGTGGTAGCTGCGAAACAAGTAGCCCGGACACCGATCTGGCAAATCTGCTACTTACAAGAGGTCACAAGAGATAGCAGCATCTTCCGGCCACTTTAATTGCCATCCACGCACCATCGTCTGCAGAAACGTGGGACCTCAGCCTGGTGTACCGTAGGGCTGGATTGTGGATACGTCCACAGCTGAATTAAGGAGGAACAGAAAACCCACACATCCAGAAGGGTGCCTCAGGCGGAAGTCACCCGCAAACCAAGTAACTTAACAGGTAGAAGCGAACAGGCGAGTTCCAGGAAACAGTTGAGAACTTAATAGGATTTGTCTAGGACCAGGAGGGCCCTGGTTTGCGTACTCTGGCACCAAGAGGGGCACTTTCCTGTCTAACAACAAAGACGACCGGGCAAAACGACATTCCAAAACATAAGAACTCGAAAACTGTCAGTCGGCTATAAGTCTTGTGCTACTATCTGTATTAATAACAGTCCTGAGCACAACTTTAGGCAGTTAGAACGAAAGTTGTCATATTACTAACACTACAAAGTGTGGTTGTGTGCAAAAAACAGACTGAACCCATCGAGCAGAATAGCCAAAACATTACTGAAGGCAAAGGCGACACAATGCAGCGTTGGTGGGGACTGGGACTAGGCACGTGCCAAGACTAGTAAAATGTTCTTTGACCAGGTAAGGGAAACGGCAGGGACTCGGCGCAAGTCGTATTTTCGAAAAAAATCAAAACCTGTCACACAGAAAGATCGCGGGCCTTAATACCTGAGAAGTATGCATAGACAAGTGCTGCAGTCATTAGCAATTCGTCATGTATATTCCCCCCTAATTAGTAACCGAACGCTGACAGAAAACATGAAAAGCAGTTTCACTGCGTCAAGTTACTCGAGTAAACTTTAAACTCACTGACGTTAGTAGTGCAAAATTTCGCACAAAACTTTCTTTTCCCTTTCAAAAGGAAATAAAACACGGGAATTGCACTCTACGCCATGCTTTGCCCCATAGCACAGGAATCCACTGGATTGCAAGTCTGATTATAAGGACGTTTCGCTCACTGTGTTACTCCAAAACGGCCCAGGCCCGGCAAATTCGGCTCCGTAAGCGCCAACGGTCTGCAGCTGAACAGAATGTCTGAACAACAGGTCAGCGCGCACCGCTCCAAGGCGACTTTGGGAAATAGAGATCAGCCGACCTGCGATCGTTAGTGGACAGCTAGTAGATTACAAAATTACTGCTCCTAGCTTAACCCCCTAGGGCATCTGGACCTCGATTTGGGACATGACTAACTGATGACTGCAAATGGTCTATAAATCGTGAACTTGAAAAAAGGTCACAAGGAACACGCGAGTCATAATGTAGGAAAGATCAGATGGAGCGCTTTCTATAAGGTATTAAAGCTAAATAAGTAGACACTCTGTAGGAAGATAGATCAGAGGAGAGTCAGGTACACTGATCAGTCCCCAAACGAAGGCTATGCCTATAAAACGCGATGTCGGTACTTACAGACTCGTCCACGAGATTCGCAAAATCGTCGCGCACTTGGAACCAGAGTCCAAGAATGTCTAGCAGATGCGTGAAATCTCTGCGATAGATAAACGCGAATTAGGGCAAAGCGATGGGTGGACAAAAAAGTTAGCGTATTCTATGCCTCTGGACGTACCTTTTGTCTGAGGAGAACAGCTGCATGAATTTCACCGCCATACCAAACAGGCCTCCAGTCTCTAAACGAGAAGAACATTAATGGAGATTCATGCGCATGGGCAAATGTGCACAAGCTACCGAAGGTGGTCCGCTACGGTGCAATCGATGTCATGACAAGCGACATGTAAAACTATTGAGAGGAGTGCTTACGAAGACAGCGGGTCGATAAAAAGGAACGGCAGGCCTGTGTAGGAAGGCTTGGGGAGGCGCTACTAGGGGGAAAACACGAGTATATCCTTACAATTGACGTTTTGACGTCATAATACGACTGTCAGACTTCAGATTTTGTCAGGGGGGAGGTTGCCCTTCACCGTAGGGTGGCCGGAATACGCTGGGGGCTACGTGCATGATAATGAAGTTGGCAGCCAAGCAGGACGCATCGCAAAAAGGCTGCGGGAATCGACTAATGGGGCTGGAAGGTTGAACCAGTACAGACAGACGCCATCCGATGCATCAACATACCTATTAAATAACTGGAGCAGGAGAAGAGAACTACGCGACTGTGCTAGTAGAGGAAATTACTTTTAATCACCATGTCGTCGTAAGCCTGTTCCGTCGGACAAGTGCACGAGCAACGCCAATAAATGTCCAGTCCTTGACCTCGATGGAGATCCAACATCTGTTCTATTTACAGTTCAAATGAAAAAGACAAGTAAGGGTTATCTGAGGAAAAACAAGGAAGAAGAAACCAGACGAGCAGTGTCGGAAGGTAAGACATATAATAGGATAGACAGTTATAGGTTGTCCGGTAGCTCCGGTTATATTTTAAGTTCCGGTCAAGAAAACCTCAGACTCCAATCCACAGTCCCACGATATGTCGGAATCAGTGGAGAATGCTCAAAACCGCACTTGCATGACGTTCACGAATGGCGAAAAACAGGATTGGGGACTATCCGTTTTGCACTAGACCCCCTCTCCCTCTTAAGGTGTATTACAGGCCGTTACACAGCAATAACCACGTCGGAACACAATCGTTCCGGTTGTCTATCATCCTCAGTAGTAGATGCTGCATCTCGCCGTCGTGGAGCACTGAGAAAAAACTTGCTGTGAAGGGGTTAAAGAGTCAGAAAAGAAGACTCAAGGTCCTTGGATAACAGACGAGTTGAATGACCAAAGCAAACCGATCATCCTGCATCACGATTATGGGTTAGGCGGCAAAGCAGAACACGAAACAAAAGCCGATGTCTTCCAACCGGCTGAGTTTGCTCAAAGCTCAATCAAACAAAAGCTCAGCATTCAACAGCTTCGCCCGCTATCTCTGATTCCCCTGAGAAGGAGGAAGCCACCTGAGGTGTATCGAACCGGTCTATTAATCAAATGACATACCGTAAAAAAAATGCAGGCTCGCATAGAAAAATACTGTCAGGCACAAACCTGTGAAAATACGCGGCACGTCTGAGTGACCCAGCGCAAGCGCCTTCTCAAGAGCGAGAAAGTAAGCGTAGTTGGCGGCATTAATCGACATTGGAACACCAAAAAGCATATGAGCAGCTGGCCTGCCTCTTCTGCGACTTGAACCATCCTCAATGTCATCGATGCTTAGAAAAGAGGATATACGATATTAGGAAATACGGATATTGAAGTTTACTCTAGGGTGCACACAATAGTTACACTTACACTAGGCTGGCGTTATGGAGCATCTCAACTACTTCACTGAGAAGTTCGAGTTTTTCGGCAGGTATATGCATCCAAAAATTGAAAGCTTTTATAAGCTGTTTTCGTAGGCCTTTTCCTGAGTTGGCGAGGAGGTAGTGAAACGGTTCTAGGATAATCTAAAACAGGTGCTGAAGACATTGTCTGAAAAGATACCTCATCGTGCTCGAAAGATCCATTTTCTGGCATCGTGCTAAAGTACACCAGAGACAAGTACACAAAGGATAGTTGAAAGAAAACACTTTCGGGCAAAGAGATGGGACAGATGAATGAAAGCGACAACCAGGGCATCAGGTTTAATTCATTTACGTCCAATGAAACCACGTGCAGATTAGACTCAGCGGCAAATCTCCAAAAACGACAAAATTTATGTAAAGTGTACTGCCTAAATAAGCGGCTGAGGAAAAATGCGCCTTTGTGGAGATTTAAAAGATAATGGGCGCAGTAAATAGGCCAAGTATAAATAAAAACACCAAAAAGGTTCGTTTCCCCAAACGTTAACATTGAAGTCGTGCCTAAAGAACGTTTGAGGTACGAAACACCAGAGCACAAGTTCAGTGAAGATGATGACGACAACAACGGTGAAGACAGTGATGACTATTATCACTTCAACATTCTATCTTAATTATATTAGCCCTAGATATGTCTACCTCGGGCCGATAAAGTACGTTCCTTACAACTACGCCAAGCATGCGTTTGGGGCCGCCTTACACTACCCCTTAATGCAAAGAGGATTATCGTGGACGTCATACCAATATGACGCATTTTGTCCCCGGTAAGAAAATGAAGTAGGCAAGAAGGGCAGGATTTATTGGTACCAAAAAATTTCGCGACAGCTCTTCAGCTGCGTCCTGTCGCTTCATAAGAGAGATAACGAGTGAGAAGAATACAGCAGATTTGAATTCGTGCAGAAAATCAATGCAGAAACAGCAAGGTCATGGTTTTGGGCAAAGCTGGCTAATCGATAAAGCTAGTAACACAAACACCGTAGGGGAAGAAAGTGAAAAAAGGGGAACGTTAAAGAGCAAAAATGAGAGGAGAGAGGGGAATCATGGAGCCAGAGGCTACCATGGCAATGTTAGGTTAACCACGTGTTCCAATTGTTTACAAAGATCTGGTTTCACTCGTCGTATATAGGCCGCCTCCAGGTAAGGCAATGTCCGAGTTGTTCGTGCCCGAACAAGTACTCGGAAGGAAGTTTTGGGGTCGACGGAGTGACCAGTATCAAGTAGGTGTTTCGTAATGGAGGAACGCGGGATCTTATTTTCTTGTCTTAGGAGCCACTTGGGCAGGTGCTCAATAGACCTAGCTGCCAACTGCCTTTGCGTTCGCCCAATGTACTTGCATCCGCAAGTGCATGTGAATACATAAACACAATTTGAAGTGGCGTGCATTGGCAGGGCATCCTTTGCCCGTGGAATCGGAAGTGGCTTAGTAGGACTGCATAATACTAGTTCGGCTGCATTGTATGTCCTTTCTTCAATGAAGTGGAAGCTGTCTTTGCTGAAAGCAAAATTTGTTGATATTTCGCACCAGTACCGCAGAGCTCCAATAACACAACGCACACCTATAACTAAAGAACACATGACTGCTTTATCCGCTTTAAAGCATTATAAGCAAATAATAATTTCCAAACCTGACAAGGGGCATGGGGTTGTCATTCTAGATCGTAGTGACTACGTGACAAAAATGGAGGCTATTTTACGTGATCAGAGTAAATTCCGTTTAGAAACGTCGGGAAAGGAAGAAACCAAGGCATTGGAGGACTCCGCCTGGAAAACAGTTAAAAAGTTGCTAGACAACAATCTGTTGGACTCCAAAACAGCGTTTTGCCTAAAACCTAGGGGTTCATATACTCCCAGACTTTATGGATTACCAAAAACGCATTGAAGGGATATACCCCTAAGACCACTTTTATCTATGCATAATTCACCTTTTCACAAACTAACACAGTGGCTAGTCACGGAATTAGAGCCAATCCGACGACGTTTTTCTAGTTACACGCTAAAAGTCAGCTTCCACTTCATTTAAGAAATCAAAAATCAAGATATTTCTGGCAAATACATGATATCCCTGGATGTAGAATCTCTTTTCACTAGCGTACCACTGGATGAGACAATAGACATAATTTTCACCCATGCATCAGAAACTCGTCTGCCACCGGAAACACGAGACGCATTAAAATTGTGTACAAAGAACGTTCAATTTCTCTTTAATGACCAATTATATAGACGGAGTGGCAATGGGGAGTCCCCTTGGCCCTACCTTTGCTGACATCTTTATGGGTCATCTAGAAGAAAAAGTGTCCGCCAAATTGAATAAGCTGCCACACTACAAAAGATAAGTGGATGATGTTTTCGCTATTGTTAAGGACATTAAGGATGCTGAAGAACTGCTTTCTATTATGAATAAGCTGCATCCAAAGATCAAATTTACAATGGAGAAGGAACAAGACAACCAACTATCCTTTCTGGATGTTCTTATGCTTAGAAAGGAAGATGGTTCTATAAGACGTTCCGTCTTCCATAAGAATACTTGGAAGGGACATTACTTACATTTTTTGAGATTTGTACCTATCCAATGGAAACGTAACTTGGTATACGCTCTTTTCCAAAGGGCTAGGAACATTTACTCCAATGACACATTGGATGCAGAATTTTCACGCCTCAAAGAAGCTCTACTTAAGCGAGGATATCCCGCACGGTTCATCCACAAATACAGCAACTCTACACGGCCAAAATTGACAGAACATTTAGCTCCGAAAAAGCTCGTCATTATATCTTTGCCCTTTAAGGGCGGCAATATTTTAAATACTATCAAACGACGGCTACGTTCCGCCACTGAAAGGACATACAATGCAGCCGAACTAGTATTATGCAGTCCTACTAAGCCACTTCCGATTCCACGGGCAAAGGTTGCCCTGCTAATGCACGCCACTTCAAATTGTGTTTATGTATTCACATGCACTTGCGGATGCAAGTACATTGGGCGAACGCAAAGGCAGTTGGCAGCTAGGTCTATTGAGCACCTGCCCAAGTGGCTCCTAAGACAAGAAAATAAGATCCCGCGTTCCTCCATTACGAAACACCTACTTGATACTGGTCACTCCGTCGACCCCAAAACTTCCTTCCGAGTACTTGTTCGGGCACGAACAACTCGGACATTGCCTTACCTGGAGGCGGCCTATATACGACGAGTGAAACCAGATCTTTGTAAACAATTGGAACACGTGGTTAACCTAACATTGCCATGGTAGCCTCTGGCTCCATGATTCCCCTCTCTCCTCTCATTTTTGCTCTTTAACGTTCCCCTTTTTTCACTTTCTTCCCCTACGGTGTTTGTGTTACTAGCTTTATCGATTAGCCAGCTTTGCCCAAAACCATGACCTTGCTGTTTCTGCATTGATTTTCTGCACGAATTCAAATCTGCTGTATTCTTCTCACTCGTTATCTCTCTTATGAAGCGACAGGACGCAGCTGAAGAGCTGTCGCGAAATTTTTTGGTACCAATAAATCCTGCCCTTCTTGCCTACCTTAGCGTCATACCAATAGTAGCCTCTTTTCTTAAGCACACCAAGTTATTAGTGGACACCTCGAACGGACTGATTTCGAGAGCTATATGAGTGGCGGCTTTATAGTTGATAAGTCAGTCAGGGTCAAGCGCCGATGTGTGCACTTAAACGCATTCTCAATTTCAATGACTAACTCATCAACACGTCTCACTCCTCATGAGCAGGGCTCCGTCTATTTACAGCTTATGTGGTGCTGTGCGGCCCCCTTTCGGAGGAAGAAGTCATCGTTGCAATATTGGCGCTGTGCGACAGGAGTCTGCGGCCAGTAAGTCTTGTAGGGACACTGGTGTTCTGACCACACGAGGAAATTGGATAGGCAGGGAGCGATGATATTGCTTCCCGTGACGGGCTCTGTTACCCTTGTGTCTGTCTTCAATAATCCAGATGGCAGGAGTGAGAACACGGCTAGAGAGAAGTTTCCTTAGTAATGACACAAAGGTCACTCGGGCGATTCAAAGCTATCCGTGATTCAAGGCTGGAACATGTTCAAACCGAGCTCAGGCCGGTGTAGATATTTCGACCAAACAATCCCACTGCGGCACATTCAAAAATTCCGCTGTGACTACCAAAAAACGGCAATGTTTATTTTACTGATTTCGTTAGAATTTCCGACTACCTTTTCGACAGTCTCTAGGACGGGTAATAGTTCACAGAAACTTAGCTGTGATCCAAACATACCATCATTCTAGAACGGTGCGGGTCGACGTCCACATAAATCTTTCTTTACTGTTCGGCGCTCGGCCTGGTGTTCGGCAAGGCTGGATCCGGTTGCCAACCTACTTATGAGATTGACTGGACCCGCGGGATTTGTTCGCGGTTTTGACGGTATCCAACTTGCTTTAGGAGGCCAGCCGAGTGATTGTGAGTAAACTGACCACAAGGTCTTGATAACACTAGGCAATTGTGACCTACATAATTCCATGTCTCTGACGAGCGAGGTGCCTAATTCACTGATTTATCTATTAATTTTGCGGAACCGAACACGCTGTCGAGTTGAATCTCTGGTCAGAAGTAATGATAACCAACTGGAAGAAGTGGATGGTGCCAAATATCCTGCCGCCAAATTGCTTTTAAACGGGCACAACAAAGCCATGGTCGTTTGAAACAATACTGCTCAAAGACTTCGGTAGTTACGAAGTCGTCACACACTTAACATAACTGATATATACGTGTACAAGGTATCGGTTATGTCGGTCCTCATGTACGGCTTTGAATGCTGGGCCGAGGACGTGAAAGACGCAAGAAACCCCAAGTTTGCCTGCCACCTCAATGTAAATAATTCGACTTTGTTCTGACTGGGAGTCTGTACTGGCTGCAACGTCGCGAGGATTTTTCAAACCACCTAAAAATGGGATCGAGCACATTCTTTGAGGGCCGACCCGTGAGTTGAAGATTGCTAATGTCCAATGCTAAGTCCAATGTCGTCTAACTGCCGGCAGCGAAGAGGTTGGCTCACAAGCTAATTTGACACAGTTTGGAAAAGAGTGACCGGAACTAATGACGGTTGTGGGCTGTTATTAATATAATATAACAAACATTGGACGGACAAGCCTACACACTCAGGCAGTTAACGCCAACACCGGGACAAAAACTGGAGATGAACAGCCCTAACACCACA